ACTTAATTTATTGTTCATATTTTGAAACATATTTACCGCCAGAAGTAGGGAAAAGTTGATGGAAGTTCTCTCAAATTACAATTATTTAGCATTTATTCACGAATCAGAATAACATAGATTTCTTTGTGCAGTGTAAATACGTATATTTTCTCCCAGTTACACTCTTCATTCAGAAGTTGCATTAATTGACAGATACGAACATCTCAGCATTCACTGGAATCTGATGAATTAATTCCATTTAATTCCATTCCAAAATCAATCAATAAATTAGTGCAAAAGATGGATAAATTTAATGAAATGACTCTTAACGATGGGTCTTCCGTTGTTCCAATCACCGCAGATTCTGACATAAAAGTTTTGTAAGATTTATATTTACGATTTAGTTTATTTGAAGTAGTTTTCATTTCACCGATAACACCTATTTTCACCACCAAACACTGAATCCACCGACAAGTTCTTGCGGGTTTCCTCTCGTGAACACAGTCTAGTGCGATCTTTCAACTGTACCGCCAAGGACAATAATCCCGGAAGTTTCCGTCTCCTTAGCTGCAGAACCTCCACTGACGAATTTGGGACTCCCGCTTGAAAACAGCCATGGAGCTGTTCTCTAAGTTCACAGCCGGTTGGTTCCTCCTAAAGAAAATCATACAGTAGTGCTTGGGTTTCATTGAATCACAGGATTCCTACAGTTAATGAATTTTCAGGTAACTCCTTTGGAACATGAACTTCAGATGGATTATTAGACAAAAAAAGACGGAGTTACAAACTTCGTTTAAAAAATCATTTTATATTGGCATCTTTATTTCCATTGAAGGAATATGACCGCTGAAATTCTATTAGCGGGCTAGTGCGTATTTGGACACACGCGCTCCACATCGTCGCACATAGACTCTGCGTAGAGTAGCATGATGCTGTCACAGTGAATGCGACGTGTGCCTCCCTGAGACCGGTGTCGCCATCAGCAAGGAGGTGCATGGAGAGGGGTGAGAGAGGGTGGGGACGGCAGGGTGAGCAGGGGCGGTGATACGACGCTTCCGGATGAATCAGCCGTTATCGGTACGACCATCTCCATCGGTGCCTCTAACGCCGCCTCCACGGTTGCCGGCGGCGGCTCACTCAGCACCGTGTTGGCTGATAGGCTTAAGATTACACAAATCCTAAGTGCATTTACGTCTGGCATTTTATGCCGTAACATGTGCTTATATGGAAGCTAAATCGAATGGTAAAAGGTTATAGGGAGAGCGGCAGGCAGAGACACAGATGAGATAAAAAGGAAAGGGTGTGGAGGGGGTGTTGGGGGCGACGGGGAGCGGCGGCAACGCGCTGCCGACCTTTATCCTCCCTCCCCCTCTTTCGTCGCCGCCGCCGCCGCCGCGCGCCTCGCTCCGTGAATAGAATCGCATCGACCCATCTCCGGCGCAGGACAAAGATTCAATTTTGCAGCGCGCGCGCGGGCCCGGGGTGGGTCACGTGTCGGGAAGTGCCGCGGGGAAGTACCTCGGGAAGCAGTAGCGGCGGCAGCGGCAGCCCCGGAGCGGCGGCGGAGCACAGGCAGAGGGTGTCGCAGCGCCACCAGCGCCACGAATATCAACTTTTCACACGATGGAGCACGGCAGGGGGCGGGGCGAATAGCGGATAAGTTTCCGGCAGCTGATACGAGAACGTTTGTGAGAACTTAATGATGAGATAGCTGGGCTGTTAAAAGTCCGACAAAAAGGTAGAGCGAAGGAAAAAAAATACACACGTAGATAGCTAATTGAGTAGGTCCGCATGCCATGCGTGATTGAATGAACGGAAGGACAATGTGATAGGTAAATTGATGGCAATGGCCAAACGGAAGCTGTTTGTAGTATGCCTTAACAGCAATGTCCTTTTGGGATTTTGACATATGTGTGGTTGTATAACGTTATAGTGTTTTTGGATGACCTGACGAGATTGCGTGACGACAAAATAGCCCGTTACAAAAATGCTGAATCAAGTTACATAGTCCCACAAGGGATGAGTTATGTAGTTCGAAAAGTTTCAAAGGAAAGAGACAGTAGTTATGGTGGAACAACTTGTGCTGAGTTTTCTTTGGATGATGAAGTTTAAACTTTTAACGAAGAACACCAGGATGCGCAGCGCCGTTCGGTACACAGGGGATAGGATAACAAGCCGGAGCTTCGCGGTGAGGAGGCCGCAATCTGACAGGTTGGCTACCTCCAGCTTCATCGCGCGTCCAGATTGACGTGAAGTTTGCGTGGGTGGCGGGGCGGCTGCGCCCGTGGCTCGCCCGCTCGCCCACT